CCCAGGTATTCAAAAGTTGGTCCCACGGTATGACAAATGTCTCACTTCCGGTGGCGAATATGTTGAAAAATAGCTGGACACTTGCTGTATCTGTTGCAATAAATATTTCCATGAAATTGTGTTTTGTTTCTGTAAACGGCCCCAGGGAAACTTACTTTTGGGACGCGCCTCGTATATCCTTAGATCGTGAGCAGGTAGAATTGTAGGTTAATGTTTTTAATTATGTCGGTTTTAGTGGTTGCAAGTATTCCCCATATTTAATTGAATCTTGTTTTTTATTAATGTAAATTTTATTTGCGACCTTCTTCTTCTTCTTCTTCTTCTTTTTTTATAGGAAACATGAATAGCTCAACCTTCACTTACTTTAGATCAATCTTCTCGCTAATATTTAAGATTTAGCCGGGGTCTTGTCTCTTATATTCATGGCATTTACGTTTTCGATCGATAAACTCATGAGATCTGAGGTCATCAAAGTGGTCAATATGTGGTTTGTGGTCTCCTGGGTTTCCATACCGTGCATTGCTGTACATGGTTACGGACGTTTCGGTTGAATATCGCGATGCGTACCACGGGAGCCTTATTGACTCTCAGAAATGGCCGATAGTCTGCAATAAAAACTGGCTTGCTCAGCAGACTGAACACCTTTCTTTAAGGTCCAAATGTAGCCATCTTTCAACCTTTTGACAATGTTTCGAGATTCATAAAAAAATATGACACTCATCTCTCAGAGTAAACTAATCGCCCTGATGATGGAGGCAGCAAGGAACTCTGAAACGTTGGTAAACTTCTACCAGACTACACGGCGGTACAACCCCCGTGAACCTCAAATCTTACCTAAGGTGCTGGAAGTATCTCTACCTAAAAAGGATGGTATAAATTAGTCTGGAAAAAAAATTAGTATTGTGGTGCTTTATAAAATTTACTTTGCATGAGACGGTCGAAGAATTTAGCACAGACGATGGAATTTTCATCCAGACGATATCAGTGAATCCGAGAATTTCCGTATTGTTCTGGTACAATTTGTAGGTCTTCAGTTGGGAAAACTGGTCGCCATGACACAGCCACGAGGTCGGGAGACCTCCAAATTGTCACAAGATACCTCTCGCTTTGATCGCGCCCAGTGGCCGGATTTTGTGAATTACTGCCAGATTCTCAGGGACGAGCCTTGGACTCTTACTCCGACGACGCGAGAGAAAACGGTTTCAAAGTGTTTAGTGGAACTGAAGTGGTAATACGTTTGTACACTCTTTGGATATGTAGGTGTGTGCAAACATTATAATACGGAATATAACCTTGATATCGATCTCCGCGTGTTGTGTTTACTAGGGGAAACCCAGTGTGGTCTACGCTTAGCAGATGTAACCACAATATCTTTTCCCATGATTCAAGATACACAAAATAACACAGGGTCGATTGAGAATCCCCTACGATCGCCAGATTTAACCTCACTTGTTGAAGGACGCGGTGTACGACCAACAACAGTTGAAGAGTTCTGGCAAGAGATTGAACGGTCTTAAGTAACCGTCATTTGCTGTCAACAGTGCCAGAAAGCTGACGGTGGTCATTTAGAACACGTAAACTAGATTCGCTAATTCACTAAGTGGCAATGCTGACGTATGTAATGATTTGCTTTATTATTATGTATTTATTTTTTTATTTTTTGAACGTTTTTATATATCTGTTTGGGACACATTGTAAATGAAACATCGTCCAACGCGGGAGATACGTTTCTCAAAAATTGTCGCGATTGCTGAATTCGTGTTGGACGAACTTAAATTTACATGGGATTAAGCGGGATGTGGGAACGCGGCCGACAAAGCTGATAGATAAGAAATTGTAAATGTAGTCTAGTGATATTTATTTATGAAGAAATTTCGTAATATATTAAAATATCATCGATAAATTAGACAAGCTTTAAAAAATTAAATATTTTGACGGAAATTTGTACTTTTGAAACAAATCGTCAACGGAATGTTGGGCCAACCGCCCCTGTCCTCATACCACATCGCCAAATTATCTATAATCTTTAATTTTTATCGAGTTTCAATTTACGTTTTGACTTCATTATGATGTCCGAGTGTGATATCGTAAATAATGCGACAAAAGTTACCATAATGACAGCTTAAGCGTGGCTGTGAACGCGGGTTACGTGCATTTTGTGTGACGACGAATGGGGGCGAAATACGCGGGACGTATAACTTGCAGATTGGCAGTGGAGTTGAATATTTACACGTTTCCATATTATGAATAAAAGAAACGATTTTTTTTTTACAAATACACAAGCAAAAGCTAAACTGCCTTTGGCTGTTTAATCAGCAATGACATTTTTAACATTCTACTACGTGAGATGGTAAAGTTGCGTCATATTGTGATATAATAAATATATATTTTAAATCTTGTCCGTCTAATCACAATAAATTCTTATTAAATATTAAA